GCCCATTTGTTCTGTTTTCACATCAAAACACCAACTTCAGGGACAACATATTCACTTGCTTCCTAATATGTTCCACCTACTTTCAGATACCATTGTAATGAGATAATCAATGTTATTCCCATTACCTGTCAGTAGTCATAATGTCATGGCTGATCTGTAAATAAAAGAAAGCCCATTTCAGAACAAGCAAGGTTGAGGTGTTAAGGGTATGGTGGGAGGGTTGCAATCACAGTGGTTAGAGCAGTGGGGGTGTCATGCACTCATGGTAGTTAGAGCAGACATGAAGTAAAGGCAGAGGGGGTGCATGCACAGGTTTGAGCCTGGTACACACTGAGTTTTTTTTTTTCTTGAACCTAGCGGGCTGAAAGAAAAAACTAAACAAAACTGAATGATTGTTGTACTAAGCGATGTTAGTGCAGTGATCTCTCCCGCTGTGACTTTATGATGGGGGGAGGGGGGGGCACTTCCCGTGCCAGAACACACTTATTATCATTAATCAATTATTGGCTGTGATGCTGATCGGATGCTGGTTCTCCAGCATGTCCCTTCAACAAAAGCCAGTGCTTAGACTGGCCTTTGTCGAAAGGACATCTGTACACATGGTCCGTAGATACAACTGGTCCTTTGAGGGCAACCATAATGCTTATGCGGCCTGTTAACCGGTCAATATTCGGACCGTGTGTACCCAGCTTTAGTGAGAGAAAGAGTACAGGTATGGTGGGAGACGGGGCAGCCGTGAAATAAAGGGGGGCAGAGAACATAGGTGCAGTGTTAAAGGTAAAATTGTGGCAATGCAAGACTACACTGTAAAATTGAAGCAATGAAAAAACTGTAAAAAAAAAAAAAGTTTCTAAGTCAAAAGAGACAGCTTTTGAGACTATTTACAAGTCTTAAAAGTATATGTCCAGCATAAACTTTTTTTTTAGCTCCTGATAGAATAGGGAAGGGTCCGAATCCCTTTCAGTGTTTTCTGCTAATTGGGATATCATTATACAAATATATGGCTTGCATGTAACATTTCTTTTTAAACAGCATTTTTTTAAAAACAGCTTTAATATATTGAAAAATATTGAGGACAACTTAAGACAGGGGTGTCAAACTAAATTCTTTTACAGTCCACATCAGCATTATGGTTGCCCTCAAAGATTAGATGCGCAGTGCACCCCCCCCCCCCTTACAGTAGAAGTCAATATATCATATTGCATCCCGTTACCTTGTACTACTGCTAGAAATAAGTTGAGGGAAGAGTAGGGTCTGGAGGACCACTAGAGGAGGGCTGGAGCCAGTTGCCGGAGTCTGCTGAATGCCGAGACCAGGGGGTATGCAGCTGCACAAAGTGGGGCAAGATATGTAGGAGGAGTTCTGTTCTCCTCTCTTCTGCCAACTGCTGAAATGGGGAGGGGAGACAGAGATGAGCCTCTCTGTAGCAGCACAGAAAAGAACAGGATCTGGTGGAGGCGTTCTGTCCTCCTCTCTGCTTCCAACTACTAAAACAAGGTGGGGGCAGAGATGAGGGGGGTGCTGCAGCTGCAGGAGAGGTGCAAGGGCCACATGAAATGGCCTGGTGGGCCAGATTTGGCCTACAAGCATTGAGACTTGTTACTTAGGACATCTATAAATGAGATGTTCGAAATCTCCTGGGGCTGGATGACAAGTAGCATAATTAAAACCCCAAAGGCCTGCTCTAAAAAGTGAATGGGAAGCCCTATATGTCTTATGGACAGCAACTGAGTTACTCTTTGAGAGGCTGATAATGAAGCAGAAGAAACTGCTCTTAAAGTGGACCCTCCTAACCACAGAAATGCATGGTTCATGCAGCTATATATGCACATACATAAACATCCTGTAGTCATTTTTAGGCTCAAATTTTTTGAATGATAAACTTGTCTACATTCCTGGAACTTCCAGGTTTCCTAAGGTACTGGTGAAGTAACCAGGGCTCAAAAAATTCTGGAAAAGCAACATTACCAGTGCCCCCTAAAGAGATCTTGCGGGATCTCCCTCATGCATTTGTCTCTCTGTCATTGAAGCAGATCTCATGCACGTGCCATTCAGAATTTTCTGTGGTTTCTTACCAAACAACAACACAGAGACAGACTGCATACAGCACCTGTGCAATATCCGATGCAGGTGCCATTAATGGGCCAAGCACAGGGAACCAGAATGAAAAAGCTTGCTGCCAATGAGTGAGAAGAGGCAGAACAAACATAAAGGGGATTTGGTATGCTATGAAAACAAAAGGGTAGTGACATATGCAAGTGGACTTATTTACCTAAATACTTGAAGATAAGTGTTGGCTTTTTTTTTTTTTTTTTCTCGGAGGGGGGGTTGACAATTGGCTTTAATAACTCTGACCATCCATCCTCTTTGACATTGACTGTGTGATATATGAACACAAGAAGAATAACATCAATGTATACAGAGTATATTTAGACTTTTGTAGATACCTCACTGCATCTAGCATAATGTGTCATTTGCAAACAAATTATAGCAGACTGGTATTGTTTGAATTAGTGAAAAATTGCATTCTCCCCAGTCATCCCCCATCTCGTACACATTCATCACCGAACCCGCACACACACACACAAAAAAAAAAAAAACATACATAGTACTATTCATGTTCCAAATAACCAGTCTAAAAAAAACAAAACAAAAAAAAAACAAAATTAAACTGTGATAGCAGTATGTTCCACAAAATACAATATGCTATATATAAATTATGATGTCAAACAGCATTGTTCCTCATTGCTCAAACCTTGTGTCAGAACCATATAATAATAAAAAAAAAATCTCCCATAATTCATATTACACAATTGATGTAGATCATGTAAAAAAACAATTCCCATTAAAAATAAAAGATATTCAAGTTCAGTATTAAAAGGATCCGAAGGAGGGAAGGAAAAAAACTAAAAATAAAAAATTATATGTACACACATACAGTGTAAATATATATACAGTGGGGAAAATTATTATTTGATCCTATGCAGATTTTGCAAGTTTGCCCACTTACAAAGAAATGAAGGGTTGAAGGGTCTATACTTTTAGTCATAGGTGTATTTTAAATGATAGAGACAGAATATCAACCAAAAGTCCAGAAGAAAAACACGATAGAAATATTATAAATTGAGTTACAGTTCAGTGAGAAAAATAAGTATTTGATCTCCAAGCAAAACATGACTTAGTACTTGGTGGAGAAACCCTTGTTGGCAAGCACAGAGGTAAGAGGGATTTTGGTCCACTCTTCTTTACAGATCTTTTCTAAATACTTAACTTTTCTTGGCTGTCGCTTGGCAACTTGTTTCAGCTCCCTCCATACATTTTCTATAAGATTAAGGTCTGGAGACTAGCTAGGCCACTCCATGACCTTAATGTGCTTCTTCTTGAGCCACTCCTTTCTTGCCTTGGCAGTATGTATTGGGTCATTGTCATGCTGGAAGACCCACCCACGACCCATCTACAGTGTTCTGGCTGGAGGGAAGAAGGTTCTCATCAAAGATTTTACAGTACATGGCCCTGTCCATTGTCCCCTCAATGCAGTGAAGTTGGCCTATCCCTTTAGCAGAGAATCAGTCCCAAAGCATACTGTTTCCACCTCTGTGCTTGACTGTAGGGATGTATTGTGTTACCAATGGCTTGTTTGGTGACTGTGGTCCCAAGTGCCTTGAGATCATTTACGAGCTGCTCCTGTGTAGTTTTCGGATGATCATCCTTCCTCCATGAGGTGAAATCTTGCATGGAGCTCCAGACCAAGGACGATTGATGGTTATTTTGTATTTCTTCCATTTGCACATAATTGCTCCAGCAGTTTTCTTGTCACCAAGCTTCTTGCCATTGGTCTTGTAGCCCATTCAAGCCTTGTGCAGGTCTACAATCTTGTCCCTGATGTCCGTTGAGAGCTCTTTGGTCTTGTCCATGATGGTGAGGTTTGAATGGAAGAAAGATTCTATGGACAGGAGTCTTTTATACATATAATGAGTGAGTTGTCGTTAAGAGCACCTTCTTAAATTGACAGGATTGTTCAAAATAAAATTGACAGGATTGTTCAAAATAATAGCAGTGTGTTGAAAAAAGTGAATAAAGCTCAAAATCCTTCTAATAGCTTTTATTTCCATACACACAAATGCATTGGGAACACTACACATTCTATTCCAAATCAAAACATGAAGAAAAAATATATCAAATTTGTGTTGATCTTCTATAAAAATTGAAGAAAAGTGAATATTAGACTGTTCAAAAAAAAAAGCAGTGTTTGTATTCTTCTTAACAAACTCAAACATTCACTATATAAACTGAAAAATGTTTGAAGATTTTGCTTTCCTTTGAATCACTTAATTAATATTTAGTTGTATAAGCACTGTGTTTCTGAGAACTGCTGTACATCTGTGTTGCATGGAGTCAACCAACTTCTGGCACCTGTGAACAGGTATTCCAGCCCAGGATGATTGGACTACCATATTTTCTGCTCCATAAGGGCTCGTTCACACTAGGCTGTTTTGCCAAAGCTTGCCAAACGCCCCTATAGCTTTTGGCAAGCGTTGGTCCGGCGTTTGCGGAGCGTTATTAACGCTCGGCAAATGCTCCGCAAACGTTTGCGCGGTTTAGCGGAGGTTGTTAGGCGTTTGCCGAGTGTTAATAACGCCCCACAAACGCCTATAATGCAGTTTGAGTGGTGTTACCGCTCCGCAAACGCCCCGCAACCGTGTCGCAAACCGCACCGCAAACGCCGGCCGGGCGTTTGCGGAGCGGCACCATAGACGAGAATAGGAGGCTTCAAAGCCTCCTGATGCGTCCAGAGGCGTCCGTTTTGCCGCGACGCAACGCGATGCGACGCAAACGCTCCCGTTAGAACAGCACCATGTGCTGTAAATGTGCAGAATTGGCAGAGGCGTTTGGGAAGCGGTAAAAACGCTTCCCAAACGCCTCTCTGCCGCCTGCACACAAGGCTAGTGTGAACGTAGCCTAAGACACACCTGACCATAAGACGCGCCTAGGTTTTAGAGGAGAAAAAAAAATAAAAAAATATTCTGAACCAATGGACTGCAGACACAGTACAGGAGGTGACCAGACACTGCGGACACAGTACAGGAGATGACCAGAGACTGCAGACAGTACAAGAGATGACCAGAGACTGCGGGCACAGTACAGGAGAAGGACCAGAGACTGCGGACACAGTACAGGAGATGACCAGAGACTGCGGACACAGTACAGGAGATGACCAGAGACTGCGGACACAGTACAGGGATGACCAGAGACTGCGGACACAGTACAGGAGATGACCAGAGACTGCGGACACAGTACAGGAGATGACCAGAGACTGCGGACACAGTACAGGGGATGACCAGAGACTGCAGACAGTACAGGGGATGACCAGAGACTGCAGACAGTACAGGGGATGACCAGAGACTGCGGACAGTACAGGAGATGACCACAGACTGCGGACAGTACAGGAGATGACCAAAGTCTGCGGACAGTACAGATGACCAGAGACTGTGGACAGTACAGATGACCAGAGACTGCGGACAGTACAGATGACCAGAGACTGCGGACAGTACAGGAGATGACCAGAGACTGCGGACACAGTACAGGAGATGACCAGAGACTGTGGACAGTACATTGGATGACCAGAGACTGTGGACAGTACATTGGATGACCAGAGACTGCGGACAGTACATTGGATGACCAGAGACTGCGGACCTTCTCCTTCCTATACTGTGGGCACCCGGCTTTGACAGCCGAGTGCCCACTGCGCATGGGCGAGAAGCGCTGCGCTTTGTGAATGGCTCGGCATCTTTTGGGACCTGTCCTGTGTCCCAGAAGACACCGGACCATTCACAAAGCACAGCGCTTCTCGCGCATGCACAGTGGGCACCCGGCTGTCACAGATGCCGGGACGGGAAGAAGCAGGCGTGGGAAGACTACAGCGCTGGACCGAGGAACAGGTGAGTTCCTGCCGCAGACAACAGCTGAGCGGCCGGCCCGGTATTCTGACATCGTGGCGGCGGAAATACCGGACCGGCTGCTTTTATTCGCTGGGGGGGGGAAAAGTGCGTCCTATGGAGCGAAAAATACGGTACATTCCAAAGTTCTTCTCTATTTCTTGATTTTTCCTCAGAAACTGCCTTTTTGATGTCACCCCACAAGCTTTCTATTGGATTAAGATCCAGGGATTGGGCTGGCCACTCCATAACATCAATCTTGTTGGTCTGGAACCAAGATGCTGCACGTTTAGTGGTGTGTTTGGGGTCGTTGTCTTGTTGGAACACCCATTTCAAGGGCATTTCCTCTTCAGCATAAGGCAGCATGACCTCTTCAAGTATTCTGATGTATTCAAACTGATCCATGATCCCTGGTATGCGATAAATAGGCCCAACATCATAGTATGAGAAACATCCCCATATCATGATGCTTGCGCAACCATGCTTCACTGTCTTCAGTGTACTGTGGCTTGAATTCAGTGTTTGGGGGTCGTCTGACAAACTGTCTCTGGCCACTAGACCCAAAAAGAACAATCTTACTTTCATCAGTCCACAAAATGTTGGGCCATTTCTCTTTAGTCAATGTGCTCTTTGGCAAATTGTAACCTCTTCAGTACACCTTTTTTTTTTTCAACAGTGGGACTTTGCTGGGGCTTCTTGCAAATAGTTTGGCTTCACATAGGCGTCTTCTAATTGTAACAGTACTCACAGGTAACTTTAGACCTTCTTTGATCTTCCTGGAGTTGATTGTTGGCTGAGTCCTTGCCATTTTGGCTATTCTATCCATTCGAATGGTAGTTTTTTGCTTTCTTCCACGTCTTTCAGGTTTTGATTGCCATTTTAAAGCGTCTGCGATCATTTTAGCTGAGCAGCCTATCATTTTCTGCACTTCTTTCTATGTTTTCCCCTCTCCAATCAACTTTTTTTTTTTTTAATTTAAATATTTATTGATTTTCAAAATATTAGGAAAAATAAAATCCACAATACAAATTATTTTACAATCTCATAAAAAAAAAACCTCATTCTCCATATTTTCCTTATTTCTCCCATCCCCCCCCCCGCTAGCAAAGTCTCCCTACCCACCCTCCATCCTTCGCTTCACTTCGCCTTCCGCTCTTAGACACGAGAAAAAGAGACTATAAAAGTGTTCTTATTACAAAGACAGAAAAAAAAAAAGAAACCCTTCTTCATCTATTTACCTTCAATCTAAACTCTTCCCATTTTTTCCATTTCGCATAATATGTCACCGACCTATCTTCCTGCATATAAAATAATTTCTCCATTCTGCCAATCTGGTCCACTCTATCTATCCAGTCTTCCTCTTTTGGAGCTTCTACCTTAAGCCAAAACTTGGGTATCAGACTTTTGGCTGCATTTAAAAAGTACCATATACCTGTTTCTTTATATTTATTTACTGATAATTCTGTATTATGTAAAAGGCAGATTTCAGGGTCCAGACTAATATCTATTTCCGTAATCGTTCTAATTTGATGTACTACGTTTCTCCAGAATACTTGTATTTTGTAATACATCGTGCCTATCTCACTGCACCCCCGCCAACACAAAGGTGATTTCTCCCCACTCATCTTGTGCTCTATACTCAGTGTAATATACCCTCTTATCAAACATTTATAGTTCATTTCCACCTCACGTATACTTACATTCTCATGAATCAATCTAAATATTTTTTTCTGTTTAATCTCCTATCACCACCCCCAAACATCTTTCCCCTTTTTCTATATACATTAGTTTTTTTTTCCCTATGTCTAACTCAGTGAGAGTCATGCTTCCCATCTCCCCGTGATTCCAACAACCTCTCAAACACATTCCAATCTTCCCTAGATCTCAAGGGCTTAGGCAAATTCCCAACAAAACATTTTAATTGATTATACCTCCAACTATCTATCTTAGTGAAAATCTTTCCCTCTTCCTGTTCCAAATCCTTAAGTGATCTCAGTTCTACTCCCTTCATTACATCTCTCAACTGGGCTTCCTCCTTCTTGATCCATTTTCCTGAGATTTCCTCCCTACCTGACAGGAAAAGCTCTGAATTTCTCAATGGCATCAAAAATGAGTTGAAGTCCCACTTTATATGCTTGTGCATTTTATCCCACACTCTTAAAACGTTTAAAGTATACACACTCGTGCTCTCTCAGTATAGAGGTTTAACCTCTATATTGTGTTGGCACCCATATACTCCTACTTAAATTATTACCACTAAGTGAATTTTCTATTGTGACCTAACTTTTCTCTTTTAAATTATGTGTTCAATCAAATATTCTAGCCAAAATTACTGCTTTATAATATCTTTTAAAATCTGGCACTCCCAGTCCACCTTTTTCTTAATTTCTACTTATCACTTCATTAGATACTCTAGGTTTTTTATTTCTCCAAATATATCTTATCATCTTTTTAATCATCATCTTAAAATATACCTGTGGAAGCTTAATAGGGACCATTTGGAATTCATATAGGATTTTGGGGACGATTACCATTTTTATCAAATTTATGCGTCCTATCAAGGACTGATTTCCTCCTCCTAATATCTTTAGTTCCTCTCTAATTTCATTTAACATTACTATATAATTTGATTTATAAAGGTTTTTATATGCCGAAGTGAGTTTTACCCCAAAGTATTTTAATTCTCTCTTACCACACAAAGGGAAATTCCCCTTGTATCCCCCTTTTTTTCATTATTTGGAAGATTTATGTTTAATATCTCTGTTTTAGCCGGGTTGATTTTTAAATTTGACATCTCTCCATATTCCTTCAATGCCCTCATTAAATTAGGGAGCATTACCCTAGGATTTCCAACATAAAACAATAAATCATCCGCAAAAGCGGAAACCGTATGTTCTATATTTCCTATACATATTCCCTTTATGTCTGAATTTTTCCTTATTGTTGACAACAGTGATTCCAAGGACAAAAGATACAACAATGGGGACAGTGGGCAACCCTGTCTTGTTCCATTTGTCATCCCAAATGACTCCGACATCTCCCCATTTACCATAACCACTGCGGAGAGCGAGAGCCCCCTGTACAACTTTCCTATTCATGCTCTCATTCTAGCTCCCACTCTCAAGACCTCCAATGTATCCATCATGATCCCTAGTTAACTCTATCAAATGCCTTCTCTGCATCCACTGAAAGCACCACCACTGGAGTATTTCCTGTTGCAAATGTGCGCATCAGAGATGGACGCGGTTCAACCATTTTGGCTTCAACCTCTATCTTGGCGGAGGAATTGACCCTCCTGATATATGTTATTCCCTCATTCTCGTCCCCCCCTCCCTTCCTGAGAGGCACAGTGACAGGTGTGTGTGGTAAAAGTGTCACAGGCCAAATCCCAGCAGGGAGCCACGTGGTGCCACACTGCCAGGAGAACATGTGTAATTTCACACCTCGTGAAAAGATAACAGAGCCTTCCCAGGAGTTGAAAGGGACTCTGGGCTAATAAATGTAACTCAGCATAGGTGACAGAATTAGATGGACACTTCTCGAATCAATTTTTCCCCTATGTTTCATATCTTGGAATATGAGAGACTTACATTAAACCAGACATCCCGTCAGATGGGCTAGGAGCAGGCAAACCGTTTGATGGGTCATTCAAATTATCTCGGACCATCAGTGGAGCCGAAACATAGGACTCGCGAACCTGGATCTGCTTACATCAAAGACTTACTGGCAAGTAGTACAAGACCCAAATGTTGTCCAAACTTATTATTGTCCACTTTTCCACTTAGTTCTCCTTCTAGGCTGCTTTAATTCCTCCTTATTTCGTTCAGACCCCCCAGGGAATCCCCCTTTCACAAATCCTCTTTTTCCCTTTACACAGCAAACAGTCACTTTTGCATAATATAGGCCAGCCCAGGCTGCTCACACTCACCATCCATTTGCTCTTCTTCTGATGAGACAGCCGCAGCCACCTACTGAACCAGACTGAGAGACCATTTAAAGGCTCAGGAAACCTTTACAGATGTTTTGAGTTAATTAGCTGATTAGAGTGTGACACCATGAGTCTACAATATTAATTTTTTTCACAATATTCTAACTTTCTAAGACACTGATTGTTGAGTTTTCACTAGCTGTAAGTCATAATCATCAAAATTAAAAGAAAAAAAATGCTTGAAATATATCACTCTGTGTGTAGTGAATCTATATAATATATGAGTTTCACTTTTTTTTATTGAATTTCTGAAATAAACTTTTTGATGGTATTCTACTTTATTGAGGTACACCTGTACACCTGTCCTTTTTTGTATCTCTGTTGGCAGGCAAACACTCTCAGATGAGAAAGAAGGGCAAAATACT